CCAACCCAAGTCCTTTTGCCCAAAACCCAATAGCCCACAACCAGCTAGAGCAAACTACACCACAGAATAATACACATTTATCATTTGGCATGCTGGGCGAGGTGGAGGCTCTAGAGGTGCGGCCCCGGGGCGGTCACTGCCCTGGGGCCAGTGTGTTTACTCTGGAGGACCGGGGGACTTGGGGCCTAGGGGTCTAGGTCCCACCACTGTCTCTAGTCTAGGAGCCTCTACTATGTGTCCCCTAGGGTCCTCCCATGCCCCTCCTGCGGCGACCTTCTCCTTTATCCTTGACACGGGCGTGTCTCGTTGCTTTTTTAGAGACAGTACTGCTCTCACCCCGCTTTCTGCGACTGTCCGCGTCGCACTAGCAGACTCTTCCGCCACAGTTGTCGCACGTAGCACCACCACTCTCCCTTGTCGTGCTGTCCCCTCTAGCTCCCTCACCGGTCTGCACATCCCCTCGTTTGCCAGGAACCTAATGGGTGTCGGTCACCTTCAGGACCTACAGTAGGCGTCACCATTATGTTCCCTGGCCGCAAGAGACACGTCGCTTGCACAGACACAACCACCGGTCGGCACTTTGCTAAGTTTGAGCATGACCCAACGTCTATTGCGGTTGCCGCCGATTGTTGCGTCTGCCGCGGTTGCCGCATCCTGCTCCTGTCGCTCCATAGCCCACCAGACCCTTCTGTGGCACCACCGCTTAGGTCACCCTGCACTCCCGCATCTTAGGCACATGTCCCAGCACGGTCTAGTCTCTGGTCTCCCTGCATCGCTTCCTGCCCTGTCTACATCGGTAGCCCCGCTATGCACATCCTACGTCGAGGGCTGGCAGCGCACCGCCCCTCACTCCTCCTCATTTCCCCCTAACACAGCGCCACTACAGATGCTACACATGGACGTTTGGGGCCCTGCCCCAGTCCCTGATCTAAGACGAGAGCACTACTTTCTAGTCGTCGTTGACGACTTCTCGCGCTTCACCACAGTGTTCCCTTTGGAGCGGAAGGTCGTCGTGCCTACCGTTCTCCTCCAGTTACTTCTTACTGTTCGCACCCACCACCACCTACCTGTAGATCGCACTCTGACTGTGGTGGCGAGTTTGCCTCTGGCACTCTAGGATTGTTCTATCGTCCTGAGGGCATCTGCCAGACGTACACACTGCCGGACTCCCACAGCAGAATGGGGTCGTTGAGCGACGCATCAGCCTGATCATGGAGGTAGCTCGCACCTCCATGGTCCATGCCAGTACAACCCATTTTCGGTGGCCATTCGTCATGCGCTACGCTGCTCACCAGATTAACCTGTGGCCACGCTCCCAACGGCCACTGGTTTTGCCGACCCTCCTATGGACCAGGTCTCCTGGGGACGCATGTGCGTTCCACGTCTGGGGAAGCCTTGCTCACGTCCGCGACACACGCGGGGACAAGCTCTCAGACTGCACCCTTCCTTGTGTCTACTTGGGGTTTCCGTTTTATGCCTCTGACTGCTTTTCTACCACCCGTCACACCACCACTTTTACCACTCTCATGATGTTACCTTCGACGAGACGCTCCCCTACTACCGGCGCTTCCTGCACCGTATCTCTCCTGTGCCTCCTCCTCCTCTCTTCCTTGTCCCTGCCCCGCCTGCCGCACCCCTCCCGCCCCGCCCGGCCCAGTCTTGTATCTCCCATGCCACTCAGTTCCCCTCGGTTGCGCCTGTGGGGGAGTTGGCTGACTCTGAGGGCCCAACTGCTGGGGGTGCTCCTGCTGTCCTTGTGGCGCCTCCCCCAGCCTCGCTACCCCAGGCACCTCAGCCGACTCCTCCCTTGCCCCAGCAGCAGCAGCTATCGCCGCAGCAGACTCAGTGGCCACAGCAGCAGTGGGCTCTAGGGGTGCTGGTTCTGGGGTTGCTAGTATTGGTGGGGTTGCTAGTATTGGCGGTGTTGGTGTTGGGGGTGCTGGTGTTGGTGGAGCTGGTGTTGGGGGTGCTGGTTCTGAGGGTGCGAATTATGGGGGTTCTGACTCCGGGAATGCAAAATCTGTGGGTGGTGCGTCCGAAGGTGCTCGACTTGGGGGTGCTATCTCGGGGAGTGCCGGTGGCAACCGCGGTGCCGCTGGAGGTCCTGGAGAGGACATGGAGCAGCCGCAGCAACAGCAGCAGCCAAAGCTGCAGCAGCAGCCGCAATAGCAGGCGTGGCTGCCACTATAGGAGCAGCCGCAGTCTGCCCTTCGTCTCCTTGGTCTTGCTCCGGGTTCCCCAGTCTGCCCGCCTATTCTCCCTCCGGTGCGTGACCCTGTTTACGGGCAGTTGTTCCCTCCTCCGGACTCCTTTCGGGCTCGTTTTCTCCCGCGCTCCCCTCCGTCCCCTGACTTGTCCCCTGTCCCCCCTCATTCACATTCCCTAGTCCTTCCCCACTGGGTCCGCCACCCCTCTGGTGCTCGTCCTGTCTCTCCCCATTGTAGTGTCCACCCTATGGTCCTTCGTTCACGTGCTTCTCTAGTCCCCGTGCTTCTGTTACCTCCTCTGTCGCCGCTCCCGCAGTCCCCCCCCCCCCCTCGCTCAGACGCTGCTCGTACTGCTCGTCCTACCCTCTCGCGCTCGCTTGCGTCGCTTATCATTGACCCTACTGCTCCTCCTGAGTCTGTCTCTGCGCTTGTTGCTGTTGTCGTTGACTTTGCTGCTAGCCACCGCCTTGACTACGATGCCGCTCTAGTCTCTGGTACTGCCCGTCCTTCGTCTGTCGGGGTGCACCTTCCCTTGGCAGTGACGAGTTGGCCTACCTTGCTGCCGCTTTTCCCCATCTCTGCTCCATGCTTCTATCCCCAGAGGGCGACCCACACGCTCTTGACATCCCTGTTCTGCGCTCTTACGCTGAGGCGGTGTCGGGATCTTGGGCAGCCCAGTGGATACATGCCATGGAGGCTGACATGGCATCCTACAGATCCACTGGCACTTATGTCGACGCAGTTCCCCTGCCTGGGGCAAACGCAGTCGATGGCATGTGGATCTACATGGTGAAGCGCGCACCTGGAGAGCCGCGGAAGTTCAAGGCGCGTTACGAGACTAGAGGCTTCAGTCAGCGTGAGGGTGTGGACTTCTTCCATACCTTCTCTCCGACCTCGAAAATGACTTCTCTTCGGGTCCCTCTCCACATAGTTGCGCAGCGTGACTACGAGCTTCACTCACTCAACTTCTCCGCAACATTCGTGCAGGATAGTCTGCACGAGCAGATCTACCTCCAATGCCCACTAGGCTTCTTTGGGTCCTTCCCACCTAGGACCAAGTGGAGCATGTGTCGTTCTGTCTACGGCCTTTGTCTGGCACCTCATGAGTGGCATGACACACTTCGCACCACTCTTGCTGAGCTGCAGTTCTTTCTGTCCTCTGCTGACCTCTCTTTCTTTGTTCGCTCGGGTCAGACCCCATTCTACATCCTAGTGTACGTAGACGATCTTATCTTTGCTACTCCTGACGGAGTCTCATTTCCAAGAGGGTACTGCGGTATCTGGCAAGTACATCAGGACTGGGGCTTGTACTAGGAGGACGGGAGCCAATGGTGCTCATTGGATACACATACGTGTCGTGGGCTGACGACGTGGAGACGCTCAGGTCGTCTCAGGGCTACTATTTTAGTTTTGGTGCTGGTGCAGTCTCTTGGAGGTCCACCAGGTTGTCGTCTGTAGCTCAGTCTAGTGGTGAGGTAGAGATCTACACTGGGGCCATGGCCTCTCAGGAGCTCCGCTGGCTGTCGTTCTTGCTCACCGACTTAGGTGAGCAGCCTAGGTGTGCCCCGGTCCTGTTTGCTGACAACAGGGCCATGATCCTCCTGTGTCACGAGCCTTGAATTGAGGGCAGGGCGAAGCATATCCAATTGCGGTACTTCCTGCTGCGTGAGTTGCAGCAACGCGGTCAGGTTCGTGTAGTACAGTTGGCCTCAGAAGCCAACACAGCTGATATCTTCACCAAGGCACTTTCTCGTCGTGACCATCAGCGGTTCTGTACTCAGCTTGGTCTAGCTTCAGTAGCAACACCACTTTTTGTTTACAGAGTCATACTATACATGCTTGTACTTGGAGTTCGATCGGAATCTTGTGGCGCACTACGAAAGGGGACATGACGTCCCCGAGCTGCGATGCATAATCCTCGGCGTCAGACGGAACAGGTCCTGGAACTCGCGCTTCGACATCACGTTGAGTTCGTCCTTCCATTCCCGAATGCGTGAGCGCCGAGAGCGCTTGCGCATCATACGGCGTTGCTCGTCGTGAGTCCTACGCACCTCGTCATCGGTCGTTACCTCAGAGTCGGACATATTCTCTAGCCACTGTGAGGTCACCTGGGCAGCGGCAGCGTTGAAACACTGCCAGTAGTATGCGAACCACATGCGTAGAACTGCCTAGACAGCAGCTAGAGCAGCTGAATTCATAATGCCAGTGTAGATCCGAGACCGACGTCAACTGCTTTTTGTGCTAGCAGGATCATGCGCGCGCACGCGCACCCTCTGCTGCCGACTTGGTGTCATCACGATTTCGCTGGCGTCGCATTGTGCCCTGCTCGAGAGGTGGTTCTGTAACCACCAGCAATACACGAAGCGTCATAGGACACCTCCGGAATGTGGCGGCCTGCACTTCCGCAGCACGCCGTGGCGAGTAGTAGTAGTGCGTGTGGCGTTTATGCAGTAGGGGTCATGCCAGATGACACCTATCGGCTCTACATGCACTAGGGTCCTGGGATCGTGCGTTCATGCTTTGGCGAGAGTCCTTGAACGTGGCCGTCAGAGTGGGGGCCATCGGGTTAACGTATCTTAGGTAGACCGTCCGTTTTGTGCGACGTGGTGGTGCTCCTTCTCCATCGTTGGCCCACGTTATTGGTTGATGGGTTGAGTCGCTTTTTGCGTGCTCGGATGACACCTTCTCGAGGCTCACATTGACGCGGCTCGACTAGGGGTTGTCCGTCATTCACGGATGACACCAGCCAGAAACATGCCCTTGGTCTTGGCTCTCAACCCGAGTGGGGCCTGTCTCCTTGTTCCAAGTGTCTCCGACAAGGTAAAAATAGGGTTTCTAGGATAAATGAGGTGAAAACAGCATTATCCTGGCATATCAAACCCGTACTTCAGCTTTAGGTGTGCCAAATATCGTCCCCAATACCGCCTCCCTTTTCCCCACCAACCACTCCTCGTTCTTTTCCACCGCCCTCTTCACGTCCCATAAACCTGCTGCTCGTGAAAGCTCCTCATGTTGCCTCTTCGCCGCCAGTCTTCCTCCTGCTCCTCCCGCATTCCACGCATGAATTCCATTCCCTACTTCGACCCGCCCCGCTGTTTCAGACGACGCAGCAGTTGAAGCCGAACCGGGGTCTTCGCAAGGGCAATCGTCTTTAGCCTTAACCGTAACCCTGTACATACCCTGGAAGACGCACGATCCGGATTCCGCAATTCGATGCGCAGTGCTGCCTTCCGAACAACACCGTGGGTAGCGCGAAACGGAGAGCGAAAGCGCAGCATCCGCGAACGCTCTGCGCGATTGAAGAGTTAGAGAGCGAGCTTTAGGAAGCTGGTTGCGCGCGACCCCGTTGGCTGGTCGTCTAGTGTCCTTGGCAGGCGGGGAGGCCGCTGCGATAGGGTCGCCTGCCGCAATCTTGAGACGCTTTTCGCTTTTCTCCAAGTGAGGAGAGCTAGGCTCGACGACCCTCGCCTTCTCTTCATATCCATTATAATTTCTCTCAGGGACTGAGTCGGCAATATCGAGGGATATGAGGCTGAGAGAGGCGAATTCGTCCAGGAGCTCCGAGAACCGGACTTGCCGCTTCTGTCGGTTCTGCGACACGGACTCGGATTGAAACCGAGCCGGACTCGCTACGGCGCAATGGGACTCCACCGCAGCATCACCTGGAGACGACGTCATCAAAGCGGCGCTTGCGGAATCTCCGATACTCGCGGTGTATAGTCGAAATGAAAGCTCGCGGATGGAAGAGAGATAAGTTCAGGAGTAGTGGAGATTGGACGGAAAGGCGGCTGAAACTCCGGTTTTGAACAAAGACGGCTGAAACTCCGGTTTTGGATGAGCTGAAAATAAACGCCCTTTCGCTTATCATCCGCTGCGAGAGACGTTCCGCTAGGGAGGAATTCATTGTCAAGATACAGCATGCCTGGTTATTGTTTATTGGACCACAGGCGGCACGGATTGCAATGCCATCATTAGCTTCGAACACATAACGAAGATTGGAGGGAGGAGGGGGAAGGGAGGAGGGTGGGAGAAGCTGGCAGCGCTGGGGCGAAAAGAACGAAGAGCGACGAAGGTGGACGTCTCGACGAAAAAGATACACCACTGATCAGAGATCTTTCGCGGCGGTTCGAAAGGATGAGCATGAGAGCTGCTGCATCTGACGAAGGATCACGGCGAAGGACTCCGACCCTGTTGCTCCCGTCCAACTGGCTAACGAAATACAGATACGAGGGATGCACCGGGCCTTGTGCAAGGCTGGCGCGAAACGACATGACAGCTGGGTAACCCGCTCGTGGATCACATTTCCAGGCGAACTGGTATCATCTGCTGGCTGGCGAAACGATAGAAAAAGACAGCATGGCAGCTTTCGCAACACTCTAATATTTGTAGCCCCGGACCACGTGATGTGCAAGAAAAGCAGGTTATACAGCGGGTATGCCATTAGGTCCACGACATTTTACTCCATGTAATACTCCAAGATCCGAAATTTGATAAGATCCACCACGATGTACTCCGTTTGTACGGTAAACATCTACTGTTGACTTCGCTAAAAAAGCGCCAAAAATTGTGACCAATCACGACAGTCGCATAATGCCACCGAGCATCGAGTCGCGCCACTCGAATTGGGTGCGATCTCAGCATGCGAGTGTCGTCAACCAACCCGCGAGTGCGAGCTTGGAAATTCCTCGTGAATTGTGTTTGGAATTGCCCGGCCAATACGCGCTTGCCAGGGCGATCAGACGTAATCGCGACGGACCGGGGGGCGACAGCCAGCTGGCATGGGCATGAATCCGTACCCCCTTTCCATCCATTCTGTATTATTATTACGGTCCTATTCTAATCCTCGTGTCAAGAACATTCGAGGCGTTTTCCATATTTTAGAACCAATGACGTAACTATTCAGGCTTTCCGCGTGACACAAACAGGTCCGTCCTGAATACGAAAACACGACTCACGGTCTCTCAATCACCATTAACCAATGCACATTTCGAAAATGATTTTCTTAAATTGTTTTTTTCACCTTCGTGAAAGTGTGCGATTGGTTAACGAAACCGCTCAGGCGAGTCGTCATAATTTCGTTACGTTAAGCCCTTTTCGTGAGGCCACGAAAAGGGCTTTTCAAATTATATGATTTGCGCGTTTTGAGCCTCCGCTGCTTGCGGAAGGTCGAGAACGAGGTGTTACTTCTATTGTCCGTGGTAATTCTGACCAGACGACAAATTCGCTGAACGTTTTTTAAGAAGCCATATGAGCCCTCATATGACACACGGCGAAATCGCTGGTAACCTGGCCCAAGGGCCAATACGCCAAGGCACCCATCGTGAACAGAAATAGTAAAACGGCCTACGCCACCCCACCTAAAACCGTACGTGCTATTCGATAATCCATTTTGACCGTAGTGAACCGCTCCTATTCGTCGTAGTCCATATTTGCGAGTCGCGGATTTGGAGCATAGAGCATACCCTCTGTACCGCGCTTTATTCGACACCACTAGAAAAGTGGCGGGAAAGTCCATCACGTTCAATTCCTGGTCATGGATAGGTAATAAAAATCTGGCATGAATGGGGATATCGTAAGCTGATGATTACCTGCCACCCACTAAAAGACACCAGTCGCATATTCGGTGTGGGAATTTTTGCATGTAGGGCATAATCTAGAACATGGTGGTTGGGCTGAGAAAAAGCCCTTAGGATCTTTCCAGAGAAGTCCACTTGTACAAGATACTTGAGTAGTGCAGCGGAAGTGTTGAGTAGTTGAACCCTTGCACTAGTATGTGAGAGCAAGTGATTGATTAAAAGAAACAAGCATACAGCAATATATAGAAAGAAGGAAATAGAGCAGTTGTAGAATACAGTTGAAGAAACGGTTATCGAGCCATACAGCGACTCGATCAATGGTTCGGTTACCACCTTGCAGTCGTAACGGTCAGTCGCAACCTCCGGTTGCGATCCTTCGAGTCCCTTCGTCCTTTCGTGTTCTTTCGTCCTACCTCCTCGTGTAACCTCCGTTGACTCGCGTACTCGATACGACATTTCTTCGAGTATAGTGTTACACTTCATAAACGCTTAAGTCTTCGAGGTATTTCCAACACTCCCCTTCGTTTCTGGAGTGCTGACGTATCCGGATTCGGTGACGTTTATCTGCCCGGTCAACAGCATGCAGTAATCGAACTTTGCCTTTGCCAGTTTCTTCGTCAGGTAATCTGCAGCCATTTCTGTCGTGGGGCAGTAACTGAGTTGAGTCTCCCCTTCGCGATCTCATCCTTGACAAAGAAATACCGCAGAGCGATGTGCTTGGTTCGATTGGCGAACCGGTTTTTGTTCGTGATTTTGATCGCGGATTGGTTGTCGCAAAATAGCGAGAAGACGGGCATGGTCGCAATTTTTGCTTCCTCGAGTAGCTCCCGTAGGTAAAGTCCCTCTTTGGTCGCAGAGTAGAGAGCGATGTATTCCGCTTCAGCCGAGGATAGTGCGATTAGTTCCTGCTTGCTCGATTACCAGGAGATAGTCTCGATAGGCTCTAGTTGGTAGATGTAGCCCGTTCTGGAGCGACGATTCTCCCTATGTCTCGCGTGGTCGGTGTCGACGTAGCCGAGTAGCTGTACGGACGATGGCGTTACTTTGCTGTAGGTAAGTCCGGTCGTCGGCATAGAGACGAAGTAGAGCAGTGCCCGATTTAGCTCCTCGAGATCCTCTTGCTCCGGCTGCTTCAGGTGTGTCGCCAGTTGGCTCGCGCTGTAGGACAGGTCAGGTCGGCAGGTTATTGTTGCGAACAGTAGACATCCGAGCTTTTGTTGACATTCCTGAATTTGCTTCGCGGGGAGCTTTACGGAGGTTTCGCTGTTGTTCCCGTAGCGATAGGGAGTCGCGACTGCGACTGGCGTTAGGCCGAATTTCTTCGCGACAACACCTGTGTATTTTCCGGCGTGTAGGTAGAACGCCGAGTCGTCTTCGACGATGTTTAGACCTAGGTACTAGCTCACGCTGTCTGACACCGTGAGTGTTAAGTCACTCCTCAACTCCCCTTCGAACCAGCTGGCGACGTCGGTAGTGGAGCCGACATAGAGTAGGTCATCGACGTAGACGATGAGTAGGACGATGTCCCCCCCCTTTTGTACTCGGTACATGCCTTGATCGTGCAGCAGCTGCAGAAAACCGATCCTGACGAGGCGGCGGTGAAGGTGCTGCTACCAGAGCCGCGGGGCTTGTTTAATTTCGTAGAGGGATTTTACCAGCTGGCATACTTTTGGGGCTGCTCGACGAAGATTTCGGCGTCCACAGGTGCGTACAGGAAGGCGTTGGCGACATCGATCTGGCGCAGTGATAGCCTTTTCGTGGCCGCGACGGCGAGCAGAATGCGCTGGGAAGTATGTCGGGAGACTGGGGCGAATGTCTCCGTGTAGTCGGTTCCGTATCGCTGGTCGCATCCTCGCACGACCCAGCGAGCCTTGAAGCGGTCGATGGAGCCATTCGCATTAGTCTTGATGCGGTACACCCATTTCCCCGAGAGCACATTCTTCCCGTTGGTTTTTGTTGCAGGTACTTGCTTTCACGTATTTCGGTCTTGCATGGCCGTTAGTTCCTTTTCCATTGCTTCCTTCCATTTCGCCTTGTGTTCCCCCCCCAGAGCCTGCGACAGAGTCGTTGGCTGACGCGGTGACAGCGGCGGCGGGCTCTGGACGGCGACCCATAGTCCAAGTATTTGCAGGCCCGTGGGTGTGTGTCGAGGGGAATTGTCATTCTCGGGATAATTTGCTTCGTCACCGTCCTCGAGGTCAGGTAAGAAATTGGGTCCGATGCGTTCGGAGATATTTGTATCGACTGGTTGAGGTGTAGTGAAACCTTGGTCAGCGAAGTGGTAATAAGTGTCAAGGTTGTTACTATCGAGAGGATTGTCGTTGTCTACTGGAGCGGGCACGGAACAGTATGGTAGTGGTCCGGCAACTTCCGAGGCTTCAGGTACGTCTTCTTCCGCTGCGTCAGCTTCGGCGGCACGGTCGGCGAAGGACCGATGGCCCTCGAAGCCGTCGGTGGGGTCTTCTGTGTTGGCGATGTTGTCCAGGTAATGCTACAGTGTCAGTCGCTCATAGAAAACCACATCACGTGAGGCCATGTTTCTTTTGTCCTGAATGTCAAGAAGTTTCCATGCCTGGAAATGTTTTGCGATGCCGAGGTGTAGTCCCCACTGTGCTCGTTGAGAGAATCGTCCTGCTCGGGCTGTGTGGGGTCTGTACTGTACCATGCAGCCGAAGACTCGAAGTAATTTTGTGCTGCCCAGTTTTCATGTCCACAGCAGGTGTGGTGATGCGTTGTTGGGAAGTGACGTCGAGGACAGCAAATTGTGCAGATGGACTGCATGCGTCATCGCGTTAGGCCAAAGCGTGTTGGGCAGTCTCATCCCCAGGAGCAGCTTCCGCATCGTCGTCTGCAAGGTTTTGTTCATCCTCTCTATGACCCCCTGGTGTTGGTGAGCGTAGGGCAGAGATACCAGGCGTCTGATGCCTCTTTCTGCCAAGTAGTTCCTGAATCGTTATGACTGGTACTCCAGTGCCCCGTCTGACTGGAAACTCTTGAGTTGCGAGCCCGATTCTCGTTCAGCGATGGGGAGCCATGTCGTGAAGGCTTCGAACGCTTGATCTCGTGTCTTGAGGTTGTAGTGCCAGACGTATCGTGTTGCTGCATCGATGAACGTGATGACATAGTTGTAGTCGGCTTCACTGTCATCTCGAGGCATATTTAAGATGTCGCTGTAGACTTTTTCCATCGGTTCGTATGCAGGTGCACTTGGATTGTAGTGCGACGGGAAAGGTTGGTGTGGAAGATCAGCTTCGGGGCACGTGAAGCATTGTGCGCGGGGTCGTCGAAGCTCCTGGCCGCTCGTTGTGAGAAGAGCGTCCTT